AACAATCCTGTGAAATTTATGTAATCACTTAATCACAATAAAAATTCCTATAATAAATTTTAATAGAAGAAACTTTTTGTGTAACCCATAAGAAAATGTCACAAACAGTGGCCAAGAGCAACAGATATGTTATGTTCTTCAGGCTCTACATGGGGTAAGTGGAATATGAATTCCTCTGTACAACTCTGAACCAGCATTCAGTTACTTAGTAGATTCTGATGAACCTTAAGAGAAGACTTAATCTTGAGTGTTTCTTATACTGAGACATGAACACAGCTCTTGCTGGGTCCTGCTATGAGGTGTGGAGTCCTGGCTGTGGCTGCCCACATGGAATGCAGGCAGGACAAGGAGGGTCTACTACAGAGTTAATAACTTTTCCAGGATCAGACTCTGTAGAAAGATTAAAAATAGGTGTTGTAATAGTCTGACTACCTAACTGAATGTAACTGGTATTCTTGTTCATACTGTCTTATAGAAGAGAGAGAGAAATATTAAGAATGCTGCTGTTAATCTGAAGAGTTAAGCTGAAGAAGTGTAATCCCATATTTACTGATTGTGAAAATGACTGTGTAAATTTAGTTTTCTCTGCCATATTTCTCTTTCATTTAGAAATGTTATTAATTAAGGAGAATTTTTTCCTCTGGGTTATTTTGTTTTGACATAAGTGATCATAAGGAACTTAATTTACTAGGCCCTCTATGAAGAAACTTTTTTTTTTTATCACTTGTAGGGATTGAACTCAGGACCTGGGTGCTGATCCTGAGCTCTTTTGCCCAAGGAAAACACTCTACCACTTTCAGCCACAGCACCACTTCCAATTTCTGAATGATTAATTGGAGATAAGAGTCACAAGGGGAAATTTCAGCCTGGACTGGCTTTGAACCATGTCCTCAGAACTCAGCCTCAAGAGTAGCTAGGATTACAGACATAAGCCACCAGAGTCTGTCTTATGAAGAACATCTCTACGAGTTGTTGATAACTTGCTAATCAAAAGTTAACTTTGTTTCAGTGATGCCAGATTAACTCGAGTAGGTATTTGATTTCCTTACCTAGATCAGACTACTGTAGTATTGGATAGAAGTCCTGAGAAACAATGGCAAATGAAGTCTGTGCACAGTATCTTTCTCTAGAATAACTAGAAGAGGGCCAATCAAACTAACCCTTCACCAAGACTCCCCTGGACACACATTTAAATTGAATTGGGCCTCTAGTGTTTCAAGTTGCAGGGTCAAGTACACCACATCCTTCCTGCAGATGCAGGCATCAGGGGAGAGGGGTCCTTCTACCCACTGCTGGAGCCAGCCTGGTATTTGTGGGTCTTTTCTCCAAACACAGAAGAAATTTAAGTCACTTTCTTCACCAGAGAGATGCCCTTGCCCTCTGCTTTGTTCTTCTCACACTGCTACACCCACCTGCTGATTTGCATAGTGCTCCCCAAGGAGGACTGTCCAGCCCTAGTTTGACATAAAGCCTCATCTTGACCTTGACTTCACTGATGAAATCTCCTGGATTCCCAGCTAAAATGAGGCTCTGTTCTTGTGTTCTGGGTCTTCTAATGCTCTGGATCACTGGTAAGGGCAGAGGGAGATGAGGATGGAAAAGGGGGTTGAGGGTGAGCCCTCAGGGCCACTGCTTCTTGTTTGTATTCTGTTCTTGGGTTAGATGCACAGAACTTGTCCTCTAGAATGAAGCAGGTGAAGTTAATTATATGAGAGTGATGGACATTCTAGATGGAACCAGGTCCTGAGCTTTGGTGACAACTATGACAACTTTGCATTGGGTCGTATACATGAGAACTAGAACCTCATTTATGCTTTTAAATATCTGTATATGTTTTGAAATATTGAATGGTTTTAGGATAGAAGGGAAACCATGAAAAGGATTGGAAATTAATATATAACCACAGAAAAAAAATATATATCACATATAACCTTGTACTTTGCATTTATATTAATTTCAGGGTCCAATGGTGATATTTTAATGACTCAGACTCCACTCTCCCTGGATGTCACCCTGGGAGAGACAGTCTCCCTCTCCTGCAAGTCAAGTCAGAGCCTCATAGATAGCGATGGAGATAGCCTTCTGTATTGGTTCCTTCAGCAGCCTGGCCAGTCTCCACAGCAATTGATCTATTGGGCTACCAACCGAGAATCTGGGGTCCCAGACAGATTCAGTGGCAGTGGGTCAGGCACAGATTTCACACTGCAAATCAGCAGGGTGGAGGCTGAAGATATTGGAGTTTATTACTGCATGCAAGGTATAGATACTCCTCCCACAGTGATACAGTCCTTAACAAAAACATCTCTGTAGGGCTTGGCCCAGCTGTCCTATTTCAAAGCTTGTCTGGAGAGCAGCATAGCACATTCTCTGAACTGAAGCAGTAGTCTGAGTTTGGAGGACTTGACAGAAGATGTCATACCAGAGACCTTGTCCAAGTGGGATCTTGGATTACTTCAGCATCCAGGGACTCACAGAACCAGAATTTATAATGTTACTGCAGAAGTCAATTTATCACTTATTACCAAATGTGAAAGACAAAGACAAAATCATCTACCAGCAGTATGCCATTTCTATAGTTTGGAGAGAATTACAGAGTCAAATCCCATGCAGAATGATTCAAGAAGCAGTAGCAGCTAGCAATTGAAGAATGAGTCACAAAGCTAGGCTTAAAAGTGAGATGGATTTTTGAAATAGGAATGTTACTGAATATCACCAAATAAATATAATATGTTGGTTAAATACAAAGAAAATTAATTATATGTCTCAGATATTAAAAGCTTTTTGCTTAATCAACTCATGATTCTGAAAGTCGCATTATTATCATTTTTAATTGTGAAAATACCATACATAGGGCTTACAATTACATGAGCAAGGTAATGAGTACATTTCTTATCAAGCATTGTTGCCACCTCCTTTGTTTTCCCCTACCATCCCTGCCCTTCCATCTCCACAACTACATTTCCCTCTCTCCTCCCTCACCCCACGCCTAAATTATAAAGTTCATTTTTTGACATGGTGTCATGTACATCTCATGGGTTAACCTGTATCCCAATTTGAACAATTTGTTTTTACCCTTTCGCTCCCCAAATTATACCAACATCAAATACAGTGAAAACAGGGGTTATACCATGGGGAGGGTCATACAAAGCTACAAGAAAATTACATGGTACCTGTTAAATACTTTAGAAACCATTGCAAGGAAGAAAAAAAAAAACACCTGTGTCCCTGTCTTGGGGTTCATTTCCCTGACCTTTTCTGCTTGTCTGACATATATACTAGTTATTGCAAATAAGGGAACCCATGGGAATTTTGTTTCTTTGGGCCTGGCTTACTTCACCTAATATATATTTTTCTAAGTCTTTCCATTTACTAACAAATGGGGCAATAACATTCTTTCTGGTGGAGGCATAAAATTCCATTTTGTATATATACCACATTTTCTTGATCCATTCATCTCCTGAGGGGCATCTGGATTGGTTCTGTATCTTAGGTAGGGTAAATAATGCTGTATCAAAAACATGTGCTGGTAGCTTTAGTATCCTCTACACAAGAGATCTTTATGTTTATGATTTCTACCTGATACCCAGGGCATAAGAGTCTTATAAACAAATAATTTTTTTAAATTTAATTTAATTTTTTTGTTGTGAAAATACTGTACAGAGGGATTACAATAACATGGGCAAGATAATGAGTACATTTCTTATCAAGCATTGTAGCCTCCTCCTTTGCTTCCCCTTCCCATCCCTCTCCACATCCCCCCACCCTTATTACACAAATTGTGAAGTGGTTGATCTCCACTCTCATATCCACTCTTCTTTCCTCCTGAAACATAGCCATTCCTAAAATGTCTTGGTCTCAAACCAAGGTATCAGGACGTTGTGTGCACCAGGAGTGGATGTTTATCAAAAGACAGGTCCACCTTCAAAGTTCCTCTAACTAAATGCAGGTAAATAGAAAGGCATGAGTTTTACAGTTTCATCATAGCTTACTTTGGCTTCAGAAGTATCATATTTCAGGCCTCAGATACATCATAATTGGGGTCGAAGTTTGTGAATCTCTCAAATCCAGATCCACATGCAGTTCATTTAGTGAAGGATGATGAAGAGAACTCTGACTTTGGCAGGGACTTTCCCTGTGTGTGAGCTTCTGACTTTGAGGAGCAGTGTTAATTTGTGTGCCTGCAGCAGCTGCTTGGACTTACAATGATGAGAGGTTGATTCACTGTCATGGCAATGCCCTGCTAGTGGCTCCCCAGATGTGACATCCTGCACTAGGGTGGACAGTGTCCTCACATGCTGGTCCTGATGTGGGAGCCTTCCTCATTGCGCTCTGCCTTCACTGTCTGTGGCAGTTTTTCCTTGCTTCCCATGCTAAGGATGTCTTCTCCATTCCTTGTGACTTCATTGCCTTGCTCACCCTTTACTGTGTTTCATTTCATCAAATCTGAACCTGCTGGGTCCGCAAGTTCTAGCCTAGTTACTAAAAAATGTTATTCTGAATTGGAAGAGAGGATAGCATAAGAACATGAAGGTTTAGGAAGCAGAAGAGACTGAAGTAGATGTGAGTTCTTGGTTTAGGGAATATCTTATCTTTAAGGGGGTCTTTTTGGGATATTGATAGGAGACAGGAATGTTACCTGAGAGATTTGGAGACTGCTAGCTCAGAAATTCATGAAGATCACCAAGCTATACATTTAGCCATGTCTTTTAAATCTTTCCAACCCTGCTGACTTTCATGTGCCCTGAGCACAGCCCACTGCCCTGAGAACTTCTTCAGAGGCTGCTCACACCCTATGCAGGAGAAGGTTCCACTCAACAAACAGCCTGGACATGAAGGCCCCTGCTCAGCTCCTGGGGCTCCTGATGCTCTGGCTCCCAGGTAAGGAAGAATAATGTGGAGATTACTCTTCTCATATTAACAGAGCAGCTGGAGGCTTCGTGGAAGTACTTGGATAATATCATTAATTCAATGATTAATTGTTTTAATGTTTCCAATGTCAGGTGCTCGTTGTGATGTCCAGTTGACCCAGTCACCATCCCTGTCTACATCTCTGGGAGAGAGAAGCACCATCACTTGCAAAGCCAGTCAGATCATTAGCAATTATTTACATTCTTACCAGCAGAGAGCAAGGAAAGCTCCAAAGCTCCTGATCTATTTTGCACCTACTTGGCAATCTGGGGTCCCATGGAGGTTCAGTGGATGTGGATCAGGCACAGAGTTCACTCTCAGCATCAGCAGCCTGCAGCCTGAAGATTTTGCCACTTACTACTGTCAGCAGGGTAATTAGTTACCTACCCCTGTGACACCAGTCATAACAAAAACCTCCCAGGGAAGCAGAAGTGAGAGCCTGGGCTGCCCCATATGCTTACCCTGGTGATTCCAACTGCTGACAGAGCATCTCAGATACAGCACCATTTTTAAGGTCACTGGAACCATTGGGAGATAGGTTCTGGAGTCAATTACATACCTTAACTGTCTGTCCTCCTGCTCATCCCAAGCAGCACACACCTGACACTGCCTCTTCTGTGACTTACAAAGAACACTGCTCTGGGGCTGGGAAGGTGGCTCAGTGGTAGAGCGCTTGCCTTGCATGCCTGAGGCCCTAGGTTCGATTCCTCAGCACCACATAAGCAAAAAGAAAAAAGCCGGAAGTGGCGCTGTGGCTCAAGTGGTATAGCACTAGCCTTGAGCTGAAGAGCTGAGGGACAGCACCCAGGCCCAGAGTCCAGGCCCCACGACCGGACACCCCCCCAAAAAAAAAAAAAAACAACAAAGAACACTGCTCTGTACTCATGTATGGTCTAGTCTCTCCTAAAATTCTGCAGTCAATCAGTAACGAAGCCATTCTATATATGTCAGGGCAGGTTTTTAAAGGCAAGGAAAAATACCTTGTGAAAAGCATTTTGAAAACTACTTTAAAAAAAAAAATAGTCGTTAAAATTTTTTAATTCAACTTTTGATTTCCATGGAATAATTTTATTTGAAGTACCATATGATGTTTGGGAATGCTAAATAATGTAATAAACAAGTGAGTTGAGTACCTTCAACATTTATCAACTTCCTGTCAGGGAATTTTATTTCCAGCAAATGTATTTTTTTAAATAATTTCAACTCTCATGTCAAAACATACAACATTTTAATCTAGTTCTCAGAAAATTTGATTTGATACTGAGTATCATATAATTGTTCTAAACTTTCCAAAGTAGAGTGGAAAAATAAGTTTTTAAACAACTGCAGGAAATATCAAGAAAAAATTAACTAATACTTTGTATCAGGTTTTGGAAGGTTTGAATATGTTTTTTTTTCTGGTGCTTGATTTTAGAAGTGTTATTCAGAGAGCAGATAACAAAAGCACCCTTGGCTTCTGGCCTAGTTCACATAAATCCAAACTGAAGCATGGAAATAAATATATGTGAATAAATAAAAAACCTTTAAGACACTTGTGGAGTCATGCACTAGGTACAGTTACATAGTGACCCATATTATACCTATATTTATCAGAGTAATCAGAAGTGACTTCCATATATCCTACAGACATACTGAGAGTCATAAGTTCACATTTAGTAATTAACATGCATTCTTACACATGGAAATGTATATGGAAGGGAGGAGCTGGATTGGGAGGGATGGTTCAGAATGATGAAAGGCTGATAGGTAAAGAAGAATTGCATTTATAACCTCATATGTTTAATGGAAATCATTTTATACAACTCCTTATAGATATTAAAAATAGAATTTAAGACGAGAGGTGTATCGAGTTCTCACTTGTCCACACTCTCACCTCTGTCCAAGTTCCTTGCATATTGTGGATCTATAGGATTGAGTCCCTTCCACCTTCCAATCTTATATGTGATTAGAAGATGTCCCATCTCATTCAGAATATAAACAGGAAAGCAGAGAGGGAGAGCAGTGCTGGGAAATGTATTTCCTGAAGAGACTGTGGTGATGGGAGCCCATAGTTGATGATCCAGTGAAGTCACCGCCTAACTCCCAGAATATATCCAGGAGGGCATTGCCCAAGACCAGATACACACATGACTCTTCCTATTAGCAACTTGTAACCATAGCAAGAGTTTCAGGAAGTCTCAGCTCATGGAAAATGAGATATTTTCATGAAATATGTAAGTGACCATTCTCAAACAGAAATATTTCTTGACAAAAAGGAAGCAAACACAACTAAACATGTATGTACTAGTATTTTCTTTCCTACTCAGAAGGTGTCCAGAATTCAGGATCATCAATAGCATCTCCGAGAGCATGTTACCAATACAATATTACAAATCCACTTCACATCTACTGAATGTTAATCTGCATTTCAGCAAGTTAACAAGTAATCTCGGTAAGGATTAAGAAGTTGTATTTTGTAGAAGAAAAGTATCTCAGGTAGAGAGATGCTTTTTACTCCTCAATTAGCCTATTATGAGCACTTCTATTTAAACCAAATTTATCTCTCTCTCTCTCTCACACACACACCCACACACCCACACACACACACACACACACACACGTGTGTGCATACACACAAACATGACACACCATTGTCAGTCCTTTTGTTTAACAAAGTAGCTGACCTAAACTCTGAATAAAGAAGAGTTTCTTTAAGTCATAGTTTTAGATGCAGAACATTCCTGATGCTGTATCTTCATCTGTCTTTACTCTGAAGACTCTCTTGCATGTGGTACAATATGTTGTGTTAATAAAGAGAGAACCAGTTGTAATTTGAGCTGGCCAAGCCTATGGTTTTCTTCATTTGATAGCAGGTGACTATTATGAGAACTGCCTCACTGCATGAGAGTATCTGTAACCCTCTGGTGAGCAGTGGGTATAATCTCCAATCCCATAATATAATCACTTCCCACAAGTCACCTCTTCCATTGGCCTGGTTCATCCATTGGGGCAGCAGTACAAACACCCTGCATGTGCTCTTCCTTCCCTCAGGTGAAGCAGAGACTAAAATCTCTGAGACAAATAAACAGAGACTGGTTAAATTAGATTGGGACTGGAGATATTTGGAGATTTTATGTTAATTTAAGATAATCAAAATTATATATATATATATATATATATATATATATATCATTTCAAGTAGTTACACAAAATGGTCTCACCTCAGTATGTCAATTAATAAGTACACCATATTTTGATCCTTTTACCCTTCCTGTACTCTCCTTTGATTAATTTGCTGTACAAATACATTGTGGAAGAATGACAAGGTATTTAGTGAATTTAAAAAACTGTTACATTTTGAGGAACCTCCATACTGCTTTCCAAAGTGGTTGAGCTCCCCTATGACCCAGCAATCCCACTTTTGGGCATTTACCCTAATGTTTACAAACAAGACCACACTAAAGCTACCAGCACAACTATGTTTATTGCAGCATTCTTTACCATAGCTAAGATATGGAACCAACCCAGATGCCCCTCAGTAGATGAATGGATCAAGAAAATGTGGTATATATACACAATGGAATTCTATGTCTCCATCAGAAAGAATGACATTGCCCCATTTGTTAGGAAATGGAAAAACTTGGAAAAAATTATATTAAGTGAAGTAAGCCAGGCCCAAAGAAACGTAGGTCCCATGGTTTCCCTTATTTGTAATATCTAGTATATGTATGAGTCAAGCGGAAAAGGTCAGATAATGTGGTCAGGAAAATGAACCCTTAGATGTGTATTTTAATGTTTTTTTCTTTCATGCATGTGTTTCTAACACATTTATAAGATTATCTCTTTGTTGCTTTGTATGTCCCTCCCCCACAGTATAACCCCTGCTTTCACTATATTTGATGTCAGTATAACTTGTGGAGGAGATGGGGAAAAACCAGTTGTTTAAGGATACAGGTGGATCTGTTGCAACAATGAGAAGTACAAGTTGTCATGTCCAAAACGAGCTTTACAACGTTGGTGCGGGGAGGGGGGGGGGGCGGGGGGGGGTGAAGGAGAAGGATTGGGATTAGGGGGGGAGAGGGGAGGCTGGAAAGGGATGTGAAGGGTAAACAAAGGAGGAGGCTGCAATGCTTGGTAAGAAATGTACGCATTATCCTTCCCATGTTACTGTAACTCCTCTGTACAGTATGTTCACAAATAAAATTAAATTAAATTAAAAAAAAAACTGTTACATTGAATTCATTCTTTCAAGTGTAATAATTTTTCCCATTACGTTAAAAGACCATTAGGGTACTTACAACCTGCAAGAGAAAATTTTGTTATCCTTGTCAATTCTATACCCTACATCTTAATATGAAGATCCTGGCAAATAGAGATGCAAGCATCCCTAAAAGATAACCTGGTAACTATGGTATGCCTCTTCATCTAGCTCAACTCTGTGCTTTTATTGGTGAACTCTTTTGAGAATCAGTGCTGCTGATGCTTGACACTGTGTCTTTCTCTAGATTAGATGAGGGAGGAATGGAGGACCTAGACACAATGTCCATTCCTTTCCTAGAGTGTCTCCTGGACATAAAGCTGAATATCATTGGGCCTCTGATGCTGTTTTAGGGTGGTGAGGTGATGTGCATCCTGTTTTTCCCTCAATTCCAGATATTATCAGTGGAGTCCTTCTTTCCATGCTAAAGGCATCATGGATTTTATTGGTTGACACCAAATATAGAATAGATCTGCTGCTACTTTGCTCAGAAGAGCAAGCCTTACCTCCCCTTGACTCTTCTCACACTGTTGCCCCAACCTGGCTATTTGCATACTGCTCCTTAAGGAAGGCCTTCCTTTCTAAGTCTGAGATAAAGGCTCAGATCAGAACTTGCCTTGACCTGTCAAAACTCCTCATTTCAGTCCTAAAAATGAAGTCCTTGTCTCAGCTCCTGTGGCTGTTAATGCTCTGGATCCCTGGTAACAGCAAAGGGGGATGAGAAATGAGAGTAGGGTGGCAGGGTGAGATCTGAGATTCCAGTTGTGCCCTATCCATGTGTTAGATGTGCAGGTCTTGTTAATCATGATGGAGTAAGTGAGATTTAGGTCTGCAGAAGGAGTGAAAACCTGTGTTTGGTGAGAATAATGAATTATGCCTAGAGCCCTATTTATGCTTAAAATTATCTCTATTTTTTCACTTTAATGAGCATGGAAGATAGGGAGATGCCTTTTCCTTTTTAATTAAATCATTTAAGAGCATTTCTACTCAAATACCCCATTTCTCTCTCTCCCCTTCCCACATAATCTGTATTAGTTCATTCGTAAAACAAGTTTCTTTTCATAAGCTCTGAGTAGTTTTTCTTAACTCACAATTTTAGATGCAAAATGTTTTTATATTATAAGTCAAACCATGTAATATTAATAATAGGTAATACATCAAAATAAAAATAAAAAGCATGTCTCTGTACGTTTGTGTATAACCTTGCACTTCTATCTTATTCTAATTTCAGGATCAAGTGGAGATGTTGTGGTGACCCAGACTCCACTCCCCTTGCTTGTCACCCTAGGAGAGCCAGCCTCCATCTCTTGCAGGTCTATTCAGAACTTTCTATATAGCAATGGAAACACATATTTGAAATGGTTCCTGCAGAAGCGAGGGCAGTCTCCACAACTCCTGATCTATGAGGTTTCCAACTGAGAATCTGGGATCTCAGAAAGATTCAGTGGCAGTGGGTCATGCACAGATTGCACATTGAAATGTAGCAGTGTGGAAACTGAGGATGCTGGGGTGTATTACTCCTTTCAAGCTACACATAATCCTCCCACAGTGATACATCCCTGAACTAGAACCTCTCCTCTGGCTGGGTGAGCAGCCCTCATGTGTTCCTGGTCTGGGAAGTAGCAGAGAAGATTGTCTGAATGACCTGAGGAGGAAGATATTGTGATCAATGTGACTGGGTGGACATGATATGATAATTGGATGACTTGGAAACTACTAAGAGCAGGAGAAAATCATGAAAGGATAAAGACCAGAGACTTTAGGTAAACAATGAGGTATCTAGTGAAAAAAAATGTGTCTCTTAAGTAGTACTATAGACAATGTGTGATATTAGCATCAAGTATCTTCTATGATTTTATTCCCTTCATAAGGAAACTTATAAAACTTCCATCATGCACATGGTTTTGGCCCATACATACAGTCTATGTTATGTTTTCTGTTCAGAAGCTGGAAGCCCAGTTGTACTTTGTCTAGCATCTTCTCTGTTTGTCCCCAAACCCTGTATAAATATCAAGCCCTTCACAGAGTTCTCCCACTTGTTCCTCATTGAATCAAGCTTGGGCTGATACAGTACTGGAATCTCCACAATGGTCTCTGGCCTTGTGTGCTCTGGGGCTCTGGCTCTATTTAAGACAGTGGAGTGTGATGAAGTCCTGTAATAGTGTTCAGAGGTCACAGAACTGAGACTGAGCCCTTGTATCTGTCTTGTATTCTGTCTTGTATCTGTGTCTAGATTCTATTGACAGTTTTATGGTCTGAAGCATTGTCTATCTTTTAGTGTCTCTAAGACAGAAAATCTCCATCACTTGATGGACCGAAATAATTTTGGAAGAGTCTGAATTTTTCTCACATGCTATGTCAACCTGGATGCAATACATCCTCCAGCTGGGTTCAGAGCTGTGGGATAGACCATTGATTTTCAAGTACCAGCATGGTTGTTCTAGTAATAAGGCTTGTGATCATGATCCTGAACTGGGCTGTCAGCCCATCAATGTAACTGTAAGAGGATCAGACACATGCATCCATGGGACCAGGCAGAAGCAGGCAAGCACAGGAGAAAGAATATTATAAGGTTTATTATAGAAGCCGTATTTCCCCCAAGTGGTAGCACATGGCCTCCATCACCATCCAGATAGCAAGAGGGTGTGAGGGATAGGAAGTGAGGTAAATGGGAGTTCAAGTGGGTCTGGGCAGAGAGAGGGAGGGGACAATGTATGGAGGGAACTCCAGGATGGGAGGAGGACCCAGTTCTGGGTGGAGCTAAGGAACAAAGCTGAGCACAACACTAACTGTAACTACACAGAAATATATTAAAACTAAATTTTTAGTCCTTTAGGGACCATAGGTACATTCCCAATTGTGATGAGGGAGGTGCTGAGTGAATTTGGTTTCCTTTTCAATTGAGATACATTTCTTTCCTTTGTAAAAAAAAAAAAAAAAAAAAGCTCCACAGTATCTTCTGTGAGAAAAAGAAGTGAGATTGCAATATGGTGTCAGAATGCAAATGTGGATTGAGGGAGAACAGCCCCTGTGTCCACAAAGCAGACAAATCCTAATGTGACCAACATGGGAATATAGTCAACACAAGCATTGCTGCAAGCCACGAGGCCAGACCTCTGGTTCTTGTAGGCAGGGCTGTGAGCCTCCTGCGGCTAGAGTGACAGGAGTAGCTGTCTTCTTTGTAGTTCATAGCCTGAAAATTGAGCCACAGATATGAGGGCCCCTCCAGAGGCTCTATCAGAGGTGGCATTACTGAGACTGCTAGGAGTTTGTTGCTTGAGGATTCCCAATAGTTTGTAATTCAGTATTCCAGCATGTAACATTTTCTGATTCTCAATAGTTTGTAATTCAGTATTCCAGAATGTAACATTTTCTGCTTCTTAGACTCAATATTTGAAGCCAAAATAATAACTAGTCCACCAGATAGCATCAATAAAGTTTCTTTTTTGTTGCTAATTATCATATTTTGACACTAGATTTGTTAGAGGAGGCCAATATGAACAACCTTCCAGGCCTTCACACTGAAATCAAACAAGAACAGGGAGACACTAATTCCTCCACCTGCACAGTCACATGGTACAATTGGAGGAAAAAGGACAATTTTCCTTCTGTGAATCAGTTTTTTGTTCTTCAGCGAAATTCATGTTATTCATGTTGTTCAGTGTTGTGTTGAAAACTAGCATAAACCTGGTTTCTCTAGGTGTATTTTTGTCCTCTGTGTTTACTTCACACTATTGGATATGTGTTTATTCACCCCTTGATGGGTTAACAATAGGGTGGTGTATGGGAAGTGTTAAGAGCATGGGGTAGGGCTCAGTTGGAGGAAATACATCACTTGTGGGCATGTCCTTGGGGCTAATCTTGCCCTTACTACTTCCTATGGTTTGTTTTGTTTTGTTTTTGTTTTTTTCCTTTGGATTCTATTGTACCTTGAGTTGAGTAGCCTCTGCTAGATGGTCCCACAGCCTGATCTTGGGCCTCACCTCAGGCCAAGGAAGTCAATGATTGTGATTTGAAATCTCTGAAACTATGAGCCCAAATTAACGCTTCCTTCCCTTATTTGTTCTTGTCATGTACTTGGTTTTACACATGTTCTGCGGAAAAGAGTCCACCATTCATGTAAAGACAGACTCATGTAAAAAGATGACATTTTTGGGGAAGTGGATAGCTGACCAGCTAGGGACTCAACACAGACTCTGGAGCTGAAACTGCCACCCTGATTGGGCCTCAAGCTAGGGATTTTAAAGACAATACTCATGTGGTCAAGCCTGTCAACATGCAGGTGGCCAAGAGGATTGTAGCACACACAAAGATTGCATATTTATGTCAGTGGCCAATGGGGTTACAGTCTGTCTCATTGTTGGGTCTTCGTCCGTCCCACGAAAGACGGACGGGGTCCAAGGAAAGGTAAGTGCAGTGCTCCCCCGATCCCCAGCCTTCCTCAGCCCGGGAGACAATCAGACACAGTGGAGAGCCAAATCAAGTAGGAAGAAAACTCGTTTATTAACAGAGAGCAGCCCTTTTTAAAGCCCAAAAGGGCAGGTAGCATGGCGGAGGGGGGGGGGGGGAGCGGAGCAAACTACACTGTCAAGGTCACACCCTATCATGCACCTAAGCTTCCACGGGCTGATTATGCACTGAACATAAAAGAAATTGGGCTCTGCCCACTCTACTCTCTCTCAGTGCCATCTTTACTGCCCATGTGCTCTGCATGTCATAGTATCTGTTTGAACTAACCTATCATTCTGGTTTGAATTGGGATGCAAATTGGGTGGTCTCCACACAAAGCAGGTGGATATTCTCATTCATGGGGACAGAGAATAGGCTGCTCCTTTCTGGCAGAGCAAAGGTGGCTGGGCTGTGTTACTGTTGATAACCAAATAGGGCTGCAGAACCTGTCTGGGCTATTGATAATCAAACAGGGCTACACATCACACAACCTGATCACAACAATCCTAAGGTGCTTTCCAAACAGTTTCCACATTTCCTGGGGTCTCAACAAACAGCATATTTACTGACCCTGGCGGCTTTTGAGAAACCAGTATTTTGATTCTCAAGGGTGGACAGGAACTCCTGGTATATTAAAAGAGGAGTTAGTTTTGGCTCACCCCAACAACACACACAAAATTTATGAAAACACCCATATCTACTGCATAGCAATCTGTAATTTAAGCAGGTAATAAGGATCCATACAAGGTTTGAGAAATTAGGCTTTAGGGGAAATCTATTTTTGCTAAGGAGATCTTCACTTGGCAAAATTATTTAGCCACATATCAATATTCATCAATTCTGTAATCTCAGGCCTCAAAATAATAACTATTTTTAGAAATCTGAGCATATGTCAAGATTAAATAGCATTCAAAATATTGCCTAAAATCCACACAAATGAGAGAAGTAAAGAAGTGGATTCAAGCAGAGGTTATTCTGGCCAATTGTTATCAAAAAGCTATCTCAAAAGAAACCTAGGCATTTGGATAATCTCCTATAATCATGGTTACTAGGAATGTACAGATAGGTGGAACATGGCCTTGTCTGAATCTCCAAAACAAAACTAAAATGAAAAAGTTTAGGATTGCTGGGTTCATAGGGGAGCTCTATGTGGAGTATTTTGAGGAACATCCACACTGCTTTCCAAAGTGGTTGAACAAGTTTACACTCCCACCAACAATGCAGTCCAGTTCCCTTCTGTCCACATCCCCTCCAGCATCTGTTGTTATTAGAGTTCTTCATTATAGCCATTCTAACTGGGGTGAGGTGGTATGTCAATGTTCTTTTGATTTGCCTTTCTTTTATGGCTATAGAGGTTGAGCATTTCTTCATGTGTCTATTGGCCATCCTTCTTTCCTCTTCAGAGAAGTTTCTCTTTAAGTCTTTAGCCCACTTGTTTATTGGGCAGTTGTATCTTTGAAGATTTGTTGATGGGGGATTTAATTTGTTGAGTTCAAAGTATATTTTAGATATGAGACCCTTGTCCGTTGTATGGCTAGTGAAGATCTTCTCTCAATCTGTGGGCTTTCTATTGATCTTGCTAGCTATGTCCTTTGCCATGCAGAAGCTCTGCAATTTCATGCAATCCCATTTGTCCAACCTTTCTTTGATTTGTTGTGTTTCTGGGTCTCTATTAAGAAAATTTCAGGCTGTGCCAAGGAGGCCTAGGGTTTCTCCTATTCCATCCTGTAATGTTTTGAGATTGTCTGCTTTGACTCTGAGGTCTTTGATCCATTTGGAGTTGATTCTGGTGCAGGGTGATATATAAGGATCTAGCTTTAGTTTTCTACAAGTAGTTAACCAATTTTGCCAGCACCATTTATTGAAGAGGCTGTCTTTCTTCCATTCTATTTTTTTAGCTCCCTTATCGAAAATTAGATGGCTATAGGTCTGTAGGTTCATTTCTGGGTTTTCAATTCTATTCCATTGGTCCTGAGGTCTGTTCTTGTGCTAGTACCAAG